CATACCTAACAACACATGCTTAATTTTTGGAAAAATTAGAAAAATCTGAATGTTCCTAACCAAATATGTTTTTGTTTCCATCAATATTAGGAGAATTATAGCTGAAGAAAAAAACGCACCCAAATAGTCCTCAGTGTGAGGAAAAGCAATATCACGATATGCAAAGAATAGCTCTGCGGCATTTTTGCTGACGAGATAGCTTCGAGTTAGTGGGATACAGTAGTCGAAAAGTAGGCTTGTCCTGAACATGAAGCCTATTTCAGCAACAAATAAGATGCGTTACTATGTATAAAACGCTTGGTTTCACCAGCTCTGAGCAAGATGCATATAGGAGAACACCACATATTTCAATAATTCCAACTGTACTTTGATAAGAACGATTTCAAAAAAATCTATGAAAGGCATGAGCTTAGTGGGCGCATATCAGTTCAACTGGTCAGATCAGGTCGGTCACCTGTGATAGGACACCTCTGATTTGCTCGTAGCGGGCACAGGTCTAGGCCACAGCTTGATCATAGGTTTCATCGCGCAGATCTGATGATCTGACTTGTCGAGAGAACTGAACGTCTCCCGAGCGACTTGACCGTACTTCTTTGCAAATTGAGAAGAAGAGTAGAGAAAGAAGAAAAAAAAGAAAGAAAATGTAAGAAGGCTTTAAAGAAACATTAATTCTCTTTTACGAGACGCAGTAATGAATGGTCGCAAAAACAAACCGAATCATTGCTCCGACGTGATCAGCAGCCACCATTGCTCGAGCTTCATCTAATTTCACTTCAGCAACAACGTACATTTGACGCATTTCATCCCTTATCACCTAAATTTCAGTTACACTTAAAAAGTATGGAATAGTATTCATGAATGAGGCGTGCACAATCGCAAATGGGATACCTTCTCTTTTGCCAGTTCCTTTTCCATCACTTGCTTTTGAGCAGCGGTCAACTTCCCCTCTTTTCTTTTCTTTTCGGCGAGCTCTCTTCGGAGTTGAATTTCTGCCAACTGATCGCGGAAGCTATACGCTTTATTCTCTCGACGCATATTGTAGGTGATTTCGCCTTCGTCACTGGAAAACGGTTTCGTTCACCTAGCTTTGGAACCGAAAGAAACGCTGACCTTTCAAAGTTTCAAAAATGCAGTATATTGAAAATGGCGCTTACAATTCTAACACTTCTGTGTTGTAGAGATGTCCTTCAGAACACTGGTAGATCAATACGTGCTTCTCAGGGATACGTACGTACTCGCCAACGTCTAATTCAGCTATATTCTTTTCTATGTGACTCCAAAGCGCGTCACGTACAGACGGAAAATTCAATGCCACCAGCGTTATCAGAGCATTGTCCCTTAAATCAAAAGCATTTGCGATTTCAATATTGACTTTCAAAGGCTATAAGACCAAAAATGCGCATTTTTGATTAGAAGGGAAAATAGACGATGACAAACCGAACGCCTCGATCAGGGCAACGGAGAACCAAACTGATGGCTGTTTCCTTGAAGAGATCGCTCGTCTCTAAATGAGCAGTACTAGCTTGTCCGTGCATCCACCTCAACCACACCGACCCATCGACCTCCACTAAAATGTATGAATGAGAGCATGAATGAATATGAGTGGGATTCCACTTTGCAAACGAAACAATTACGATGTTAACCTAGTCTCTGGATCGAAGCCAACAGCAACGTGTGGATGGCGAGCTTTTCCATTTCCGGTCCTTTCGGCGTAAGCAGCAATCTCAGAACCTTGAGCATAATTACTTTTAAGAACAGCCCATTTATATGGAGTTAATATGAGTGGAAACAATTCACCTGCACGTACCACTCGCCGGGAACCGAAAATGACAGTGGGTCTTGATGACACTGCATAACTTTGCGTAGTGTCTAAATTCAGTTGAAACACAGATAGATAAGCAATAAAAAATTTCTATAGCAGAAGTACTCACCCTTATCCACAAACCCTCATTGATGGCTCCGAAATATGCACTCAGCTAACGCTCAGCAAAATGAAGATTATCAACATGTGTCGAGGATTCGTTCCAGACGCGGAGAGAGCGTTTCCTCACTTGCCAATGAGGCCAGAAGAGTAGGATCGTTAGCGATTTTAGACACATAGGAGGGTAGGAACCAGGCTGAAAAATTGGATTGGAGACCACTTGTAAACATAGCTTTATTCGAGCTATTGTAGGGCCCTACATTGAGTGTTGCTGCCTCGAGATGAAATCAAACAAAAAGTGGGAAAAAATTCAAAACGTTAAGACATCAGTTTACAAAAAATTGGAGTCCAATTAATCTCCCATTTAGCTCAGAACACGGTAGAATATGCTCAGATAATGGTCACGGTACAGTAAAAATTTAGCTTACTGAATTCGAGATCGGCCTTTCGAGAATCATTTTTTCGGTGAGATCAATCCATGCCAAGGCATCATCCGTAGACATTGCAGAAAGAGCCCTGTCCTTAAAATTGAAGGGTCAAAAAATGGAACAAGAACTTCTAAGAGAAGACCCCTAATAAACAAATATGTATGTGCAATACCTTCAGAACTCCGTCATAGACAGAAACCTTCTCCCACACCTTTGAGTGATTCGCTGTACCGGCATTAGAGCTTTTCAGCAGTAGGAGAGATAATGAAACAAATTGCAGGGGTTCCTTGAGTACAGCGTCAAACTCCTGCCATAGCTGCTTCTCAGATTCTGCCGGCAATGCTTTCATCTCACCTGCACAAACATCATAAAAACAAGAACTATATCAAATCAAGGAAATCAACCCACATCTAGTGAAAATTTTGGCCAGAGTACGGTAACCAATATGACGAACCGCAGATAGAAGAAGAGGCGCGGCCTTAAGAAGCCTCTCACCTTCTTGAAATGGTTCATGAGAAAGAAAGAATGTTTACCTTGAATGCAGAGGCAAGTGCAGCAGAACTGCCACTAAGCCGCCTAGACCAGGAAAACGCGGAATTCCACTGGGCCACCACAACATTCTCATGTGCTAAAAAGCATCTGTAATATTAAAATCCTAGTACGATGATAGCTCGTAACATACCTTCTTTGTCGGGACTGGTGGTCTTTACAATGACGCCATTTGCGACATTTTCAAGAGCCGACGAACTCGCATTCTTCGCACCTGCACAACAAGCTACTCCCTCCAGAATTGATACGCGCTGCTCGGAAGATTTCGCCACTGAATAATTCATGTGACACCGCTGAACGGCATATAGCTACATTATGAAGCGTGCGTCAACAATTTGCTTTGAACGTGCGCTCAATGAGAGGAAGTGCATTGCTGGTCGATTCCCGCAAAAAAAAACGATGCATTTACTGATCAACGTCTATTTTCGGACTACGACGATCGAGTTTGCTCATTAAAACATGAAGTAACAAAGAAATCTCTTCGAGCCTTATTGTTCAGATCACTTTAAAAAAAAAGTAGAAAAATGAAAGGTGTGCCATTTTAACTTTTACTGATGATGCTTTGGACATGGGTCATTCCACAGTCGGAAGTCTTCGCACGATCAAAACAAAGATTTCCCTAGTTCCAGAAAAGCCTGTGTAGGGGATATCGTCAGTGGGGATCCCGAGGATAGAAATGTTTGCAAAGAAACCACTACTGGTTTCTTCTCGAATGACAAAACCAGAATAACTACGAGGTGCACTAACAACGACAATTATGTGCTTTCGCGGAGCGTTGAACTGAGGACCAGGTTAAGGTTTGGACATGAATAAAAGGTCCCAAAACGACTTTCCGCTTCAAGTAGCGGAGCCAGTGTATGGGCATGCATATGATTCGTAGTATAATATTTTCTACCGGGACAGAATTCATAGAGCAATCTAGGTGAGAAAAAAAAGAGAAAGAAACTTAATAGGACGCGAAATAATTGATGAGCAGATAAAAAAAAATGGGTCTCATCTAGTAAGAGGTGGGCTTGTAGTGTGAAAGTGCACGTCACAAAAAAATAATCAAGTTTTTTGAAAGGAAAGGGGCTCTGGGTTAGTGCAAAGCCGGAAGCGAAGTTCACGCACCCTAGAGGGTACCGACAGGAGGCCCGTCGCGTGGTAAGAAGGCATAGTAAGGGCGAGTCGCAGCGCGTTATGTGCGATGTAAAGAGTACAATGATACATTTCACGCAACTTGACGCGAAATCACGATACTACGCGTTGCGACCCGTCCGGTGACTCTGTCTTGTTGCCGCGCGACGGACCTCTTGTCGACACCAACTCCGGGTCCCTGTCCTTGTAAGAATTGGAATTTCTGGTGGCAGCAGCAACTGTCGCCCCATGCATTCGCTTACTGAATGAGACTCCTAAATATGTATTTACCACTCAGTTGCTCAAAAAGGTAGTTGACGATCTTCTCCACTGTAGGTGGTTCTGCCAATATAGCCAACGCTGCAACACCGGCTATTGCAGTATTTCTCATTTCGTCGGACGTGGACGTAACGGAGGCTAAATTGTTATAAAAGAGAGAAAGGGAAAGGAAAACCATTGCAAAATAATGACAAGTTAGTAATCTGCTCACAAGTCAGCCCCTTCAGCAGATCGTTAACGAAGTCGTCAAGCGGATGTTGGGAGGACTGGATTGCCTTTACAACACCTGAGTAGGTATAACAGAGTATTATTTTGAAGAACTTAAGAAAAATGTATGGAACTTACCAAATAATGCCACCTCAGGACTCCTCAACAAGATTTTTTGATGTTTGGCAACAACTGATCACGGAATTCTGAGGCTGAGATACAACTAAGCCCTGCGCCACAAAAGTCCTGGAAAAAATGTATAAACCCACAGCAACCAAGGAGCATCGAAGAAAAGGAAAGACTAACTGTGACGAATTGCTCCGGCCTAGCTTTCGGAAAAAGAATCGATTTTGAAAACGTCTCCAAGTATAAATTATGATCTATATCAGCGTGTACCTTAAAAATGTTGATATTAAATAGAGCGCAATCTTCGGGGAGCCATTAGGTAAGCCTACCTTGAGAAGGAGTTCATTAAACAGACCATTTTCTTGGCAGATGAAGTGTCTTTACACACTTCAGTAATACCTTCTTCTACAAGCGGCCAGCTTGATCGCCCATCACGAACTAATAATCGCAGCTTCTTCTCGAATATCCTGGATGTTTTGCGGCTTACGCAGCAATAAAATGATAGACTCCCCAAAGCGGATACCTTAAAAAAGGAATTTATGAATATCTCTTCTACTATGTCCAAAAACATGACGAATACATCGACAAGACATCGTAAGGTTGAGAAAAACTAACTAATTCAGGCAGAGCTGAATCTGCAGCTCGTGGAAAGTGTTGCAGAATCCATTTTGAAGGTGGAATTGCTGTTCCGGCAATACTTTCACTACAAACAATTTATGTGAGATTTGAAAGAAAACACGATTTTGCTAAGCAATGGCATTTGAGTGTAGTATTCAGGTCATTTTCGCTAGGTTTTCTCGCTCTCTTTGGATCTCATACAGCTTTCCATAGCTTTTTCTCTCCACAAAACTCTCTGTTGACGCAATTTTCAACTTCGCGGCCATGTTATATAAAATTTCCCTTCTACACACACTGAACACTCCAGGTTAAGAGATTCCAATAATCTATGAACAGAAACCTGATTTTCTACCTGAGACACCTTTTTGTATGTTACTTTCCAATCTCAGCGATGATACAATATCTAATTTTAAGGTCCACCCTTCCTCTTCATTGCCTCCTAGCCATTTCTGGTCTTTTCAAGTGAATGATGGAAGAGCAAAAAAACTTCTGAATTTCTAGCGACGAACAGAAATAGCATTTCTATGTGTGCCCCTATTTGCCATCTGGAAAGTGGCTCTGCTACCATACCCACAAATCGGCATAAACACCTGAATGGATCTCGCCAGAGTCAACCAAGTGTTTCGTTTCGTAAGTGTGTGTTCATGTGTGGTCGTCTGATTGATGCGTGAATTATCTGGGAGGATAAAACAATATGAAATATACATAGGCTGGTCATGAGTCAGGTACCAATCCAACGTCACTTATCGTGATCTTGGAATGGAAATGGTGTGTGGACATCTCAGACAACAATTTGATGCCAAGCAACTCATTCTTCTTTTGATCATATTTCTTGTCAGTCCTTTTTTGCCCATTTCGGCATCACTTCCCCTTCCTCGAGCGCTTTTAATTTGTTTCTTTCTATTCGTCTTTCGACTGGGTCGGCCTTGCCTCTGCTTTCTTTACCCTACCATATCTCTATCTGCATCACTATCACTTTACATTCACCCAAATTTTCCGTCCCATTCCTTGTCGCCTACCTTTTCCCAAGCGCTATAAAGATCTGAGGATAAGATCTAGGGCGGAAGTGGTGTAGTGGCAAGTGGCGCGCTTACCACGCGAGCGGTCCGGGATCAAATCCTGGGTCGTGAGTCGCCCGGGCCAACCAAGCCTTCCATCCCTCCGGGGTCGGTTAATTGGTACCAGACTTGTCTGGGAGGATAAAAACACTGACTTGTACATCGGCTGGCCCCCGCAAGTCATTGTATAGGCCACATCGCATTCAAACGCCACTACGAATGTACAAATGGAAGTAGAATGCGTGCCGCATCCCAAAAAGGGATTGATCAACGGCAAATTTAATCCTTTTGGTATCGCAAT